GGTCCGGTTAGAATGGATAAAAGGAAATACTTCACCCAAAGATTGATTAATACATGGAATTCACTGCCACAGGAGGTGGTGGTGGCGCCTACAAGCATGGACGGCTTCAAGAGGGAATTAGATAAACATATGGAGCAGAGGTCCATCAGTGGCTATTAGCGACAAGGTACAGATAGGAACTCTCAGTCTGGGACAAGTGATGCACTGTATTCTTGGTGCTTGGGAGTGGGGGCAACAGTGGGAGGGCTTCTAGTGTCCTGGCCCCACTGCTGGACCTCCTGATGGCACCTGGTATTTTTGGCCACTGTGTGACAGAGTGTTGGATTGGATGGGCCAATGGCCTGATCCAATATTGGCTTCTCTTATGTTCTTATTTTCTACATTGTCACTCAGTCCATTCCAACATGCTGGTTTGTATAATTAATTTCTCTCTCTCTCTCTCTCTCTCTCTCTCTCTCTCTCTCTCTCTCTCTCTCTCTCTCTCTCTCTCTCTCTCTCTCTCTCTCTCTCTCTCTCTCTCTCTCTCTCTCTCTCTCTCTCTCTCTCTCTCTCTCTCTCTGTGTGTGTGTGTGTGTGTTAAGTGCTGTCAAGTCACTTCTGAATTATGGTGACCTTATAAATTATTGTCCTATCATCAACAGCTTTGCTCAGGTCAAGCCATTTCACGTTGAGTCTCCCTTTTTTCTTGCTGCCTTCAACTTTTTCTAGCATTATTGTCTTTTCCAGTGACTCTTCTCATAACATGGCCAAAATAAGACAGCCTCAGTTTAGTCATTTTAGCTTCTAGGGAGAGTTCAGGCTTGATTTGGTCTAGAACCCACTTATTTGTCTATTTGGAAGTCCATGGTATCCACAAAACTCTCCTCCACATTCCAAAGGAATCTACTTTCTTCCTGTCTTGTCCAACTTTCACACCCATACATAGTAATGGGGAATATTATGATGTGAATTAACTTGATCATGGTTGCCAGCTATTTGTCCTTACACTCAAGGATCCTTTCTAGCTCCTTCATTGTCCTCCCTAGTCTCAATCTCTTTTTGATTTCTTTGGTATATTCTCCCTTTTGGTTGATAATGGAATCAAGGAATAGAAAATCCCCCCCCTTCTTATTGGTGAGTATTTTGTGTGTGTGTGTGTGTGTATGTCATGGCTGACTTCTGCTGACTCCTAGTGGAGCTTGGACATTTCAGAGAGGTGGCTTACTATTGCCTGCCTCTGCATCCCAGTCCTGGTATTCCTTGGAGGTCTCCCTTCCAAGTACTTGCCAGGGACAGCCTAGCTTCTGAGGTCTGATGAAATTGGGTGTGCCTGGGCTATTCAGGTCAGGGTGCCAAGGAATAGAAAATATTGAACAATTTCAGTTTCTTCATTTTCAACCTTAAAGTTGTGTGGTTCCCCAGTAGTCATTACTTTTATCTTCTTGATGTTCAGCTGTAATCCTATTGTGGCACTTTCTGCTTTAACCATCAGCAGTAGTCATTTGAAGTCTTCACTTCTGGTTCACATTCATTTGAACTTAGTTATTCCAGTCTGTTCTTTTAGTGGTCTTTAGGAATGTTGTTTAGACTGTATTTTGGCACTGTGACTGTTTTGGTGTTTTTCTTCAGCTTTATTCTAATATCCCTTATATATAAAAGCTGAATGGTGGTGGGACTTCTCTAGAACATTCCACACACTCTGGAATTGGTTGGTGCCCTGGTGTGTCACTCAGAATCTGTCCCTATCCACTGGCTGCATTGCTTGAGTCTCGCCTCCAACATTCTAAACAGTTTGCTGTTCCCCTCCCCCCCATAGCCAGTCAGAACACATCCAGTGATGTCCATGTATACAATCATCTGTTTGGTTGCCTGAAACACTTGTTCACAATGAACTAATTGTTGTCTTCACAAACTTCTGAGTCTTGCTTCATATTTTGTTCTTCTAGCCCAAATCTCCTCACACTATTTGATTCTGCTTTGTTTCCTACTTTTGCATTCCAGTCACCTATGATTATCAGCACATCTTGTTTAAGCATCTGATCAATTTCTTCCTGGACACTTGCAGAAAAGTTTTCAATTTCTTCCTTATCAGCATCTGTAGTTGGGGCATAGTCTCATCATAGAGTTTTTGAGATAGGAGATGATTAGAAGTGGTTTAACATTGCCATCTTCTGTGCAGTACTAACCTGAGTTAGCTGTAGTTTCACTGCCATTGTCTACGAAAGATCCTCCTCCAATTTCACCTTACATTACTGCTGCTGCCCAGTAGCTACCCTTGGAAGATTCCACTGCCCCCATCACCACTGGAACCATCCATTCTCACAACCTGCCCACAACTCAAAATTCATGACTAAAATTGCCTGGGTTGGAGTTTGTGAGCCAAGGTCAGTGTGATCTCGCCTCAGTGACTCTCCCATGAGCCTCAACATGTTTTTTTTTAGGTTTGGGCATCTTGTGGTGGGGCATGTTGGCAGCGTCCGTGGCAGACACACTGGTGCCAACCAATCATCAAAGCAACAGGGGAGATGGACTTCTGCAACCCTGGAAGCACCAATAGTGTCCCTCCAAAGACAGGCAGTGCTGGTGTGACAGCCTGCACTTTTAAGAAGCCCAGAAGTGCTGTATAAACAGCTGAAGGACTGTGAAGGGTTAATTTTTCACAGAAGCCAGAGAGCCTTGAGTGAAAGGCTGTTTCAAGCAATCTGATTGTTTAGCATCAGCTGAGTAGAGAGAGACCTCTGAACTGTATGCTGAGGAGAGATTTAGTCAGATTGCTTTAAGGTGGTTTAGGGAGTAATTCTAAGCAGGTCTACTCAGAAATAAGTCCCATGTTACTCAGTAGGACTTACTCCCAGGAAAGTGTTTTTAGGACTGTGCTACAAGATGCTTGCACAGCATCAAATCCAGATGGCCTTAAGAGAGCTTTGTGCTTTGTGACTAGCTCTGGCTGGCTGGGATTGTGTGCGGTGGAGTGGACTCAGGGCTTTGAGCCACCTCTCTCTCTGCTCACACTGGGCAGAAGGGCTTAGCTGCTGGTTGCCTTGCCAACCCCCCCCTCCCCAATATTTATTTCTGAACACCTCTGTAAGTTTGATGCCTCTAGCTTACCGGGGGTCTGCTCGACACACTCCTGAATCTGCGACTGTGATTTTCCCAGAGAGCACTTTCCTGGGGAGCACCTGCTGTAACTCTTGCTCCCCCCCCCATCCAATCCTCACTAAATGTGGAGGGCAGGTAGAGGAGATTCAGCTGGAGACTTGCTGTGAGTTTGGCATCTCTAGTCCACAGGGGGAGAGGGTGTTCTACCACATAACAAACCTCACAAAATGAATCAGTTCTGTAAACAGGAAGGTCCGTAAAGGTTCGTGTAGCCTCACGATCCCCAAACCAAAACAGATTTCCATTTTCCTGGTTCATGCCCATCCCTACCATTGATCCCTGAAGGGTGGATCAACAAAAGGTGGCCAAACTGCAGCTCAGGAGCCACATGTGGCTCTTTCACAGTCTAATTTAATGTTAATAAAAAGCAAATTTGCATATTTTCCAATAAAAATGTGTGTGTGATATTTGTTCATGTCTTGTGGTTCTCAAACGTCTGACATTTATTCTATGTGTTTGTTATTTCAAGCAAGGTTGGGCACCCCTATTCCAGGGTATTTAATCTATTGTTGTTTGTTTAAGGTTATCAAATCTAAGTATAGACCATAGTGAACTAGACAGGTAGGTGTCAGCGAGCTGCCATTTCCTTGGGACCCGTCCCATCCCCCTCCCTGTCTCCCAAAGCCTTCTCCTGTTCCTGTAGTGCCTCTGTAACTGCCAAGGTCTCCAGCTGGTGTGATGTGGTGTTATGTCTTGCAGCTATGGCTTGTTTAGGTTTCCCGTGTGAATTCAACCTGTGTTTATGGAATTGGCCGTTCTGTTCTCAGACCGCTTCGCGCCTTTTCTAATCTGTAAACCTGACGAGGGAAATATGTTCATTGGTTTAAACCTGGTTTGAATTTCCTTTTAATACACCTTCCCTGGGTATTGTAGTTATTCCTAACAATCTCTGTATGTTCGTGATCAACCATGCTTTGGAAATAAATCTTGCTTCTTTTGAACGTGGATCTATTCTCCTGATTTGGGATCTAACAGTAGGGAAAAAAAGGATAGGTTTCCAGAAGTTGTGGTGCTGGAGACCCTTGTTGAGAGACTCTTTCTTAAGCGATAACCATACCAGATTCAGCCACCATATTGTGTCTTTGCAAATCCATTCGTTTGCCTTGTATTTTCATAATACCATTAGTATACTACTTAATTTGAATTTTGTTTTGTCATCATGACTGATCAGTAAAATGGGAATTTGAACCTATATACTTTGCATTAAAATACAATTTCTGTCATACTTCCCCTCATATTCTGTAATCTTAAATTGATTTTGTTGGAAGTTTTACTCTTCTCCACATCCCCCCCACCCCACTGTGCCAGCTTCCCCAGTAGTGTGGCTAAATATCTAAATGGCTCAAAGTTGTTCTTGGCCCCACTCAGAGCAAATGTTCTGTGAAGGAGCCAGTGCTCAATACCACTGGAAACTACTTCAGTGCTTCAAACTGTTGCCAGTTCCATAGTGTTTCCGCTTCTTTGCTTCAAGAGATTGGAGACTCTTATGGTCCATGGGGTGGCCCACCCTCTTGTTTGTAGTTCCTTTGCCAAAGCATGGAGACTGTATTTCTGTGTAGTGTAACAAAGGATTTTTATGACAGCAGTTAAATACTTTAATGGCCACAGTCAGCCCCCGGAGGCCTCTTTCCTTTTAACCTTCCTCACAGACTGAGTTGTGTGCCAGCACTGTGCATAAAGACTTTCATAATTCTGTTTTAACTTACTTTCTACTTTCAACATTAAAATCATTGGAAGGGGGAATCTTAGGATGACAGGAGATGGGTGAATCTCTTGAAAGTCTGATTTTTCTGGATGACTGCTTAACCAGCTAATGTCTGCAATGCAGCTGTGGTGCTAATACCCTGTTTGCTTTTCTGTAGGTGGGATTGGGTTTGGACGTGCCAAAGGCAACTCTGGTTCAGAAGCAGATGATGAAACTCAGTTGACCTTCTACACCGAGCAGTACAGGAGCCGTCGACGTAGCAAAGGTAAGGATGGAAACTGAGCTGATTGCGTAAGACCTGACCACTAACCATGCCATAGTTGCATCCTTCTGTACCCATTGTTTTAGAAGTGTGTAGCTCTGTTTAGGATAACACTGTAAATCACCTTTATTTAGTCTGAAGTTTCTGAGTCCTGGGTCTTACCTGTTGAACTCATCTTGGATTTCCTTTGTCTCTTTCTTGAATATTAAGTAAACTACAGCACAATGGGAATATGGAGGCACTTTGTAGAACATTACTTAAATTGTCAGCTGTAAGAAATGCTTTCAACCATTTGAAGTTTTTCTTGCACTTCTTTCCTTTCCAAAGCCCCATCATACCAGTGTGTTTGGTTTTAAGAAAGGGACTGCAATGTTTTATTTTGTCTTATGGTGTGTTAAAAAGTCTGCGGGGGGAATGTTCAGCAGCTATTTGACTGGGGTGTGTGTGTGTGATTTTATTTTATTTTATTTTTTTTTTGTGAAGCAGCTTCTTCTCCTTTACAGACTTGGGAGTAGAGAGTTGCCTGAGACATCCCGAGAAGCTGCAGTGGCATTTATTTCAATGATTAGGCATTCACACAAATGCATGGAATATGTTCATTTGGGGCCCAAACTGCCTTCGCACCTAGAATCGGCTCACTGATTATCATTATTTCCATGAAATGCATTGCGTGCCTGGATTGTGCAATCATTCATTTCAAATCACAAAAAAAAAAAATCATTCATTTCAAAGAGGAGACAAGAAAATGGAGTGGAAAAGAAAAATCTCCATTGCATAAATTTTTAATGGGCTAAGGGGAAGCATTGTTCTAGATTGCTGGGAGTCCTCTAAGAATGCGTGCGAGAAGCAGCTTCGAGGCAGAAGGCAGCAACTTGAATCCTGGCAAGAGGTTTCAACTTTTCCTAATTGGGAAGAGTTGAGCAGGGCAGACTTCCATTTTGCAGGCATTCTGGATAATAGGTTATGAATCCATTTGCGGCTCTATATTTTGCATTGTCATCATCACAGTCATTTAATTCTTGCAGTGCTTTGTGTCCTCTGAAATACCTTGCTTGTGGAGGGCTTACCTAGTTGCAGAAAGTCTGTGATCAGCATATCTTTGGGATTTTTTCTTTCTTTCAAAGCAGCCAGGTGCTGGGGATTATTAGGAAAGGGACTGAAAATAAGAGAACTGATATTGTTAAGTCCCTGTTTAGATCTAAAGTGAGGCCTCATTTCCAATTTAGGAAAAAGGAAGAGTTGGGAAGGGGGGGATGATTCTATCTATCTATCTATCTATCTATCTATCTATCTATCTATCTATCTATCTATCTATCTATCTATCATTCCGTCCTCCCCACAAGTGGGCTCAGAGCAGATAACAAATTATGCACTTTTTCTTCCTCTCCCATAATACTAGAACTTGGGGCCACCCAATGCAGTCGATGAATGGTAGATTCAGAATGGACAAAAGGAAATACTTCTTTACTCAGTGCGTAATTAAATTGTGGCATTCACTGCCAGTAGATATGGTGAGGAGCATAGATGGCTTTAAAAGGGAATTAGATAGATTCCTGCAGGATGGGTCCATCCATGGCTCCTAGCCTTGATGATTAAAGGGGACCTCCACATTCAGAGACAGTATACCTCTGACTGCCTAACATGCCGTATGATGGAGTGAGCTCCCATCTCTGGTTTCAGGTCCTGCCAACCTAACAGTTCGAAAGCAAGAAATTGCAAGTAGATAAATAGGAACCACTTTGGTGGGAAGGTAACAGCGTTCCATGCGCCTTGGCGTTTAGTCATGCCGGCCACATGACCACGAAAACATCTTTGGACAGCACTGGCTCTTCGGCTTGAAAATGAAGATGAGCACCACAACCCTAGAGTTGGATTCGACTGACTTTCGAGCAAGGGAAACCTTTACCTAACACTAGGAAGCAATATCAGGGGAAGACCTTCGCTTGTATATTCTGTTTCTTGGTCCTTCAAGGCAACAAGTTGGTCAGTGTACAAAGCAAGATACTGAACTAGATGGAGCACTGGCGTGATCCAGCAGGGCCCTTCTGATTTGATCAGAAAAGCAGCAATGGGGGGTGGGGTCTTTCTATGCCATTTCTGAGATCTAAATCACCTCCGTATCAGGTGGTGATACCTTTATAGGGGGAAAATTCAGTTCTTAAACATGGAACCTGATCAGGACTAATGTGCTTGCCACAATGGAGCATATAGCTTCATGGGGTTATTTGCAGGTGGGAAAGTGTGTGGGAGGAAGACCTGGCCTTTGTTCCCCATGCCATGGACCCTATCTAAACCCAGTTTATTCACAGGGATTGCCTAGCAATTCATGTAATCTGGTTCTTAGTTTGTGCCATAACGTTTTTACTTATGAGGTTCATGATTTGGCCGTTTAGCTCCTTTGAATGGGAGTTGCTTTTGGTTGGGGTGTGTGTGTGTGTTAAAAACTGGAAAACATAAGAAGTTATTCCTTTTCTAATCCCCCTCAAAGAAACCAAGTGAAGCCTTGCTTTAGCTGAGAAAGCATTGTTTGCATTGTGTTAGCCTCTGAAAGCAGAGACTTGTGGAGATTTCCATGTTGTTTGATCAATTTCATTGCTCTTTTCTAAGCGGAAAATTATTGAGCAGTGATTTAAAAGTTTTAGCTGCTGGCTTAAGTTTTGGTTCCCTGTATGGAAAAAAAATGAACTTAATGTGATGCCTCTTCACAGTGCTTTTCTGAGGATTACTTTGTTTTTGTTTTAATATCTCACTTTTTCTGGGGAAGATCATGACAGCTGACTGTCTGTGTTGGGGGTCCCTAACGTGGTGCCCATGGATGCCATGGTGCCTGCCAATACCTTTTCCTGGTGCCCACCAACTGTTTTTAGAAAATAGGTGAGACAAGGTGCCCACCCAGTGGTTCAAAAGCATTAAAATAGCAAGTAGATAAATTGGGTACCTGCCCCTAGGTGGCAGGGGGCACCCTCCTTGAGAGGTGTGCAGCAGGAGCATCGGTGGCGGTGGAGCGGCGGAAGCGGTGCGGTGGGTGAGCAGCCCTGGCGACCCAGTGAGCACGATGTCGAGTGACGGTGTCTGGCGGAGACGGAGTTATGGGGGCGCGGTGACGTGGCGGCGCGGCGCGGCGGAGCCAGCAGGACGTGAGCCAGAGCTGCAGCTGGCGCAGGGCTGTGCACCAGGATGGGCCTGCCGGACGAA